CCAAACTAGGACGAAACAGCTGTCCAGTACTCCCAGGTTTTCCAGTGGTTCTCTAACTGATGTCAGCTCATGATTAAATCCTCCATGCAATCAAACAAAATCCCTACAAAGCCAATACTTGAAAATTAGTAATAATAATGATTTTGCTTTATTCCAAAAGCAGTACTAATGATACAGCAAGGAATTTTCAGCATTCAGTACAATATTGCATCTAATTTACTCAAAAACGACAAAAAAAATTAAAAATACACATTACATAATAATAATAATAATAAAACGAATGTTATAGCAGCTACATAGCAAAATACTGTATGCAATACGGGGAAAAACATGCATAAAGTATACAATTGTAGTAATAATAGTAATACCAACTAAAATGAAATAGCAGAGTTATGATTAAGCGATAGAAAGTGTAACACCATAAAATACAGTAAGATGAACAATGAAAGGGTCGATTCAATGTGTTAATTACATAGCAACTTATGTGTTTCATGTCTAACATAGTCTTCATCACATAAAGTACGAGCTAAATAGGGTATTGTAGAATTTCTGAACTTAGTGGTACGAGCAAATATAACTTCTTATATTGACTTCTCGTCCTACCTGATGAGAGTCAAGGGGATAGGTGTGAATAAAGGGGGTGCAGAGGGTAACTAGTTTAGATGGTTTATTCTTTTCGGTTTTCGATTTAGGTAGACGTTTTCAGCAAGCGCGGCATTCAGGGAAGAAAGTTCCACATCAACACAATCAGAACCACGAATATTTCTTATTATCCGATAGCAGAGCGAATGAATCAAGTTTCTTTTTGTGGAGATAGCCATCCATCCAACTGTGGAAATTAGTTAGCTATCCATTCCTCAGGCATTTTTGGTTGGTGGATTTTTGTAAGGGATCAATCATTATGATGTCTTAGTGAAGCACACATCAAGACAAGGAATGCTTAGTTTGAATTCGTTTTCTGTGTCAAATTGTAAGGATGGATGTTAATTGTTGAATAATAACAAAATGTCATCAAGTATCACATCGTTATTGCATATCCATTAGATTAAAGTCGGAGAGATTATGTAGTATCAGCGAGGAAACCTGTGTGAAAGAGCACCGGAACTCTCTAAAGTTGATGTTCACAGAAACGTGTACAACCGTTTTAGGGAGAAAGAATTGGCAAGACAAGGAATGGCTCTCAACGGATACACCTGGAAGGTAATAGAAGAAAGGACGATGGTGAAACAGAAGATGAACTAGTACGAAAATGGACAACAGAAGGAGAAACTCATCTCAGTGTACATCACTCTGAATGAAGAATTGAAGAAAAATGAAATAAAAGACAAAAGATAATCTTTTGACACTCTGGCTGTCACCTGAAGCAGAACAGGCAGGCGGCAAGTAAAAATAGACATCAGAGCATTTTATCAGATAACCAGGTCTCAATCCGAGAAAAGATCAATAAAAGATGGCCAAGGGAGTCTAATTATCAAAGATAAGAGACAAAGAAATCCATGGGCTGATCACTTTAAAGGATTCTTGAATCGGCCATCACCTGCAACTCACCCAGAAATATCACCAACAGTGTGCACACGACTGCCAGTGGACATCATTCATCCAACAAAAGCAGTAATCTTCAATGCGATCAAGTCACTGGAAGCTAGACAGCATTTCTCCTAAAGCACTGAAAACTGATTCAGAGACTGCAGAGGATATACTGACGTCACTATTGCAAAACATTCAGAAGGAGGTCCACTGAAAACGGCCTCAAAGAATAAGACGAAGTGGAGATGTGCTGTTGAAGCCTTGTGTTCCACTCGGAACACAAAGGGAACAACAACAACAACGACATCAATCGTAGACAAGAACGAACGTGTCGTCTACATATCTTCTTCTGTAATTAGTTTGAGCATTGATATAAAATAAAGCAGCCAGCAGTTGACTCAGTGGTGATCCCATTACAGTGCTATCCATTTCCTCTTAAATCTCTTTGTTGAAGACGAATGTTCATCACAATAAAATATCTTTGAGGTAGGCCGTCGGGAACCCCCATGTCCAAACTGAAGGCATCATCAAAGTCGCATATACAACAGGCAGTTTCTGTGAGGTTTACTTTGGGGGAAAAACAAAGTCATCTATAGTGAGAACGTGAAGTCTTCTGAGACATTAAAATTACTGATACCCTCAAAAATTTGGAAACTTAGATACTTGCCTTCTCACTGGTTCCAATAATTCAGCTGGTCTCTGAATAATACCGTGATAAGGAGAAACGTTTATGTAGGAGATCGGATCCAGAGGTAATCCGATTTCGTGGATTTTTAGCAGTCCATATAAATGTGTAGGATTATGTGAAGTCGAAAGGTCAGGTACGCTCACATAAAATTTTTTTGTAACATCGGTTAGTTGATTTTCGTTTACAGGCGTCTTGTTAAATTGTTTAACCTTTGACTCTTAAATTCTCAAGGACCCCTCCCCCAGTGAGACAGTCTAAACGCCGCCCTTCATCCATCTATCGGAAGCCGACAATGAACAACTTTATGGATTGATGTCATGCTTCAATTGGACCCAGCTCTAACTCTTTTTTCATCCTGTCAACTCTGTGCCAGCTAACATTTCTTCATAAGGAAGTCAGTCAGTTGGCATATGTGTAAAACTTGGGCACTTTGGTTGTAAGTAATTCCATATTAGTTTGTTTATTAGATGTATCACATACAGTGAGTGAAACAGTATTATTATTGTGTACTGGATGACGAGGTGTCGAACAAAATTTATTCTTCATAATCATATCAGCAATTATAATCACATGACTTCAAAACTTGGGTTTGATGGTTTTCTTTATCCTTTCCTATTTGTTGTCGTTGGGGTAGTAGAATTTTCCAGATATCCGGCTGGAGAGGTGTTGAATCATTCCTATTACACGTATTCCCCTCAGTTGATTCGATAATCAAAGCTTCTGTTATCAATCTCTGCTTCCACTTTGTGACATTAGATTTTAAAACTGTCATCTTATCCCCATCCTATAGTGTGGTTGTGTGTGGCGTGGGTGGCACAGTGGTTAGGACTCTCACCGACCATGCACATGGTCCAGGTTTCGATCCCCTGCCGACGCACACCTGATATCTATGGTCAGCCTGCAAAATTGAGGCTACCGATATCTCATGCGGAAAATTGCATACCTGTATCAAAAATACGGTGTGAAATCAAGCTGTAATAAAAAAAAACTGCATGTAGTGCTATAGCTCAACGATTCTCTAGATTTCTTATCCTATTTGGGTCAACCAATCCAAATTTTGCTGCTAGGTTTTTATGTTCGGCTAGTCTGACTGACTGCCCCCCTGTTCTACTAGTTTGACCTATGTATTTGACCTAACTGACAATCATTGCAGGCAGGGTATTAGATAAACTAATTTGTTTTGTTTTAAAGGCTCCACAGGATTGATCGTTTAACCGACAAAGCTTGTTTCTAATTGAGTTTGTGGGTGGGTGGGTGGTTTGAATGCCAACAGCCACTTTTATTCCTGTCTGCCTTGTTAAGTAAGAATCTGCGTAAGGTGGTTTCCGAGGTTCCTTCCTTGTATGGACAACCGATCATCTCAAACCTATGTTAGTAAAAATAGGATTGGTGAAATGTTTTAGTGACAGGGCACAAAAACTAAGTAGTACCAAGGAAATTCTAAGAGCGAAGCCTTGAAACTTAATACTTACCCTGATAAATTAGTCAGAAAATATGTAGCGAAATGTAAAAATAAAATAAATAATGACAGTGGTGATAGTCATAATAATAATATTAATATTAATGACGACATGCAGGTCAAATATGCGCAAGACAACACCAACAATAAGCATACTAGGTTTTCCTAGCGAAATCTAGATTGATTGACCCGAATAAAATAAGAAATCTAGAGAATTGTTCAGCTATACCACTCACTACATGCAATTACACACAACACAACCATACAATAGGATGGGATGGGATAAGATGACAGTTTTAAAATCTAATGTAACTGTAGGGTGGAGGGAGAGATTGATAATGTTATGTACTCGTCGCTGAATTATTGTTATGGTCTGGTCGAGAAACTAATAGTCCTGATGCGAGAAGGCGGAAATCAGAAGACCACTAGGTTTGCGATGATACTTCTATTGTCCAAACACAAGGAGACGAAAATAAATGGTCTCACACCAAAGTGGTAAGTAAGTAAGTAGTTGTAAAGTAAAGGTAGTTCACACAAATTGTGAATGCGAATATATATAAATAATTCAGACAAGCGTGGGAAAATCATTAGACAGTCTTAACATGAATGGCTAATTATAATGGAGTGTCGATCCAATTATATATAGCGAATATAGCAGACATGCCAACAAACATATATGGATATATGTCACTAAGCAACGGTCTGTCAACAAACACTCATATTATATATAATATAATATAAGGAGAATACACATTATTAAAGGAGACAAGTCCATACAAGTGAAGTGGTCACAGACTAACCGAGCAAACAGAAAGAGAGACCAACATGCACACACACACATAAATATATATATGTGGATACATATCAGATAACTGACTGACTGAAGCTTTATTTATCGAGTCAACGGAGAGGGAATACATGTAATAGGAATGATTCAACACCTGTCCACCCGGATATTTGGAAAGTTCTACTACCCTTACGACGGCAAATAGGAGAGAACAAAAAAGCTATCAAACTCAAATTTCCAAGTCGTGTGATTATAATTGATTGATATGATTATGAGCAATGCTGAATAGTGTTCGAAACTGTGTCATCCAGTATGTAATAATACTGTTTCACCTACTGTGTGATACATCTAATAAACAAACTAATATGAAATCAGTCAGCTGGCATTAATAGAACATATCCCAGGTGTCTTAATCAATACAGAATCACACAACCTTATTTATTGGTGGTTTTCTCTTCTTACAATAAATAACCTCAGGCGCTTTTCTTACTGATTGTTCAATTTTTTTAAACTATTTTTTCTCAAAAAAACTTTTACAGTATGAAAGCTGTCATCTCTTCAATCAATGCTGAATATCAACGTGCTGATAAATTTGTCGCTGGACATGGGAGTTTATCAACGAATTGGTCAGGTCGTCGATTTATTGTCACTAATTCATGGATATTAGCTACACGATTAACAGAATTTAAAATTGTCAAACAGTCATCAGAGAATATGCTTGCTATCGTCGCCTCAGCATTTTCTGTATTAGATCCAAGTTCGTTGACACAAGGTGGTCAACCAGATGGGGAGAGTTTAGGCGAGCAGACAATGGTGACGGTTAGATTTGTACGTACAGATACTGGAGTCTGTTTGCTTAGTTTTGGGTAAGTATTAAAATCAATATTTGTGTAAGCATATTTATACTTGTATGTATTTGTCTATCGTGTGTGTGAGTGTGTGTGTGTGTATGTGCGTGTATATGTATGAGAGAGAGAGAGAGAGACAGTTGAAAGTACTATCCGTCTGCTTAGATCATAATAGGGGGGGGGACAGGACTCGAACTCGTCATCCATTTATTCGTCACAAAGGTGAATATATCAACCCCTGTACTACAACTTCACACATTGATTAGTAATTGGAAAGAATCCTCACACACTGATTCCCCTGTGTGAATTTTAATAAAGCAAAAACTGTGGATTGTGCAGAATAAGGTGATGCTCTTGTTTATTCCCTTGGGTTCTGAGTGGAGCATATGCCTTCAGAAGTACATCTGTATTTCATCCTGTGCTCTGTAGTTGTCTATATAAGGATAAAACTTGGGCACTGTAGCCGTAGAGTGTAACTCCATTATAGATAGATAAGATTTTATTTTGATAAACTGTCATACAGTGTAGTGTTATACAGTAATATTAACTGATGCGACCACGTTTCGAGCACAAACTATTTCCAATCATAATCATGTCGAGACACTACTCACACAACTTTTTTCCTTCATTTATATACATTAGTGAAATTGACGATTAGACATTTGAATAAAATCAACAATATAAGATAAAGTACATTCAGAAATAATAATATGAACTAAATTCTCATATTCCGACAATCTGATTACCCTTGATCTACTAGTTTGACGTATGTAGTTGACCTAACTCACAGTCATTGCAAAGGTATTTTGTAAATTATATTATTTTGTTTAATTGGGCCCACTGGGCCTTGTAGCTTACAGAGCTTGTCCTGTCTGAGTGAGTTTGTAGGTTTAAATCCCACCACCCTAATTCCTGCTTTATTAAGAATCCTACTTAGGGAGGGTCTCAGATGTCCCCTCCTTATATGGTAGCACTACTGTAGATGCCTTACATTCTCTCTTATTTATGTTATCATTACTAGTTTTACAATTATTTTTATTTTGTTTTGGCCTTTACTGATCTTCCTAATGAATTTTATAGGATAGTTAGTTGTTTAACACCAACACTTCTTCTTCTATCTGTTTTATTTCATCATTTAGGTCTTTCTTTGTACTACTTAGTGCTACTGCTCGGTTTGTTAGACAGTTGACTTGTCTTCCTTTCTTTATCGAAATTTATCAAGGGAACCAAATGTATGAACTTGTCTTTAGCTAGTCCGACGATTGCCCATAAGCTCTTGTCTCTACACACAATTCTCCTGTCTATCACACTCGAAGTGATGCCCACCTACCTCTCTGTTTCCTATTAGGGTCCCACTGGGAAGTTTTCCTGGCGCAGGATGTCACGACTCAGTGGTCTCCACAGTGTGTGTGCGTGTGTGTGTATGTCCAGTCCATCTCTATTTCCCTCGGCACATTTGTTGAGCAATAGGTTGGTTGGTTTATTCCCGGTGTTTCTTGTCGCTTATCTCCTCTGGTTATCTGACCTTCAGGATATGGCTTGAAGAGGGCAGCTGTTGATGAAAGTCTGAAGTGTCGTCTAGTCGTTTACTAGTCGTTCCCTAAGTTCGGAAAAAGAGGAGAGGTTGGGTATTGTGGGGCTATCGATCCTACTCCGGAAAATCAACTCAATCGGTACAAAAACTGCAAACGATAACACATTTTTAAATTAATTAGTTCCCTTTATGGATTTAGATAAATCATTAAGAAGACGTAATTTGCCTGAATCGTGTACTACTGTATTTGCGCAACACATTTCGAACAATCTGATCCATCATACACGGACTTGTCATTGGATTGCATATATATGAAATTAATAAAGAGGTGAGAGGTGAGAAAATAGACTACTTAGGTCAAGTTTAAAGGATACACTGAAGGTCAAAATAACAATGAAGATCACTAAACCAAATAACAGAGGTAATAGTACATCTGCTATGGTATCAAAACAAGGTTTACCAAGAAAGGTGGTTTAATTTGATGACGAATTGTTTTCGAACGCATAAAGGTGGTTTAAACTTTTTGATTGTCAGCTAGGACTTCCACAAACATTAGGATACCCCCTCCCCCTAACACGTTTTATAGATAGACTTAAAACATCTGTTAACATCAATTTTATGTCCTGTCTCCTTTGTAATATGTTTCGCAATAGAGGAGCCAGGTCTCTAGTTCTCACCATTAATGGGTTCTGAGGATTCTGTTTGTTTCTGAAGCCATTTAGGAATATGCTCTGAAGCCAGCCCTTACTTGCAGAGATCGATGAGTCCTCTCTCCTATGTATGTGTGTCCACACGTACATTCAAATTACTAAATACAGTGGGATGTGGCATCATTTTGTCGCATGTTCGAAGGGCTTCACATTCTCAATTATTATGATATTAGCTGCATAATAAGTCGTTTTACCCACAACAGCGTTCAGTCTTTGTCTAGTTATCAAGCTGCCTGCTATGATGCCTCATATAGGATAGTTTGATGTACACATCTTTCTTAGGGGTGAGTTGTAGAGTGGGTCTTGGTGTTCCACTGACTACTTTATATCTTCGTATGAACTTGTATACATAACTATTATGGCAGCCAGAGTTTGTGTCAACTTTCTTTCTTCTTCATCAAGTGTGTCTGTCTTCAATGCATATACGTTGAATTCTACTGATGAAGAGGCACCTCACTCACTAAGGCTCTTGACCTAAGTCTATTTTCTCACCCACCTCTTACCTCTTTATTAATTTCATATATATATTCCTATGACAAGTCCGTGTGTAATGGATCAGATTGTTTGAAATGTGTTGCATGCAAATACAACAGTACACGATTCAGACAACAAATTTATAAAAATAAGCTGGTATCATCGTTTATATCGCCGGCTTCTCACCGACCCCATACAGTGGAAAACAATTAATCAAGTTTATTTACAGAAAACTTTTATCATCCTTTCATGACTAACAACATGATGTTAGTCAATAAGGAGACTTCAAGGTTAATAAACAGTGCTCAGACAATACACTTATTGTATAGCTTATTCACAGAAGGTTCAAGTTTAAACATAGTAGAGAACAATGATAAGAGAGTTGTGTAACTACTAGCAGTGTAATGTGTCTAGTCCTTTCTTCCGGGTGCAGACTGAATTCTATCAGTCAGTCAAGTTTTGCACTGTGGGGCCACTATACCACTTGATTGATGGCTCGCTATCACAGTGGTGTACACTGTGAATTGTTGGTGCTCGCTAGCGATTGACTGATTATACGAAAAAGTTACCTGAAGTTCTAATAAGATATCATGACTGGTAGTAGTAGTGCCAACCAAGGTGGATGTGATGACAAATACAATGGCTGGCTGGGTGGCTGGCTGGTGATTGGCGCAAACAATCATGAAATCGGTGGGAGTTGCAGTTCATCGGTTGGTCGGTCTCAGTGTCTAAATGATCAACGCGTCTTGCGTCGTAATCTGAATGTCCTAGGTTCAATCCCTGGTGCTGATATGACGGGCTCATGCCGTTGAAGAGTCACAAAGTTGGACAAAGCGCAGCTGTTCCTTGTTATTTCATATCCTGTTTATTTTCTGTCTTCTTTTTTCAACAAATTAAAAGATTACCTGCATCGAATTTAGACGAGTTGCGTAGTAAACTTCAGTGTTCCCTTATACGTGCTCAAGGTGTTCAGCTGGAGCCGACAATAATCCAGCGTTTTATTGAAGTATTTACACAAATTGTTGATGAAAATCCACCGGTTAAACTACCAGCTGATTATGTAAGTCTCCTCTAATTGTATTTTTACTTTTTTCAATCTGTCATATATTAATCATAAATTTTCAAGTATTGGTTTTTGTAGGGATTTTTGTTTGATTGCATGTAGGATTTCATCATGAGCTGACGTCGGTTAGAGAACCACTGGAAAACGTGGGAGTCTTGGACAGCTGTTTCGTCCTAGTTTGGGACTCCGTTTAGGCAGTACGCACCCACTGGGGCTAATTATACGCATGTTGTTAAAAGTGCTTTACACTAGACTGTAATGTTACATCGATTGATATGGTTAGGATGTTGCGTATGCACACCTAGACATCCATCGCCTTCATCGACAATTGGGAATGTTAGCGACTGACGAAACCTCGTCACCGATATAGAAGGCTCGGTTTGCATGTACCAGTTTACGCCGTCTCTGACTTTGTAGACGTGATATCCAGTTGGCTGTCGATCAAAGGGCTTGTGTACTGCTCATCAGTCCGCTCCGTCCTCCTTTATGGCAGTGAGATTCGGTCTTTGAGAGCGGACAACATGAAAAGGCTAGCTGTCCTTTATCATAGGTGCCTGCGTTCTATCTTTCCCATGTGAAGTGGTATAATAGGGTGAGCAATATTGAGTTTAGGCGTCGAGTGCTACGAAAGGAGGGAGGGGAAATTAATCGACGAGGCTGTGAAATTACATCGACTGAGATGGTTAGGATATGTGTTACGCATACCTAGCCATTGCCTTCCTCGACGGGCAGTATCGGCTGACATAGGATCAGGATGGAAAAGAGCCATTTGTGGTCAAACCAAAGCATGGCTTCATCAGTCAATGAAATCCACAACAGTAAGTTTAAACCAGCCAGTCACGTAGTGAGGTGTAGAGTGGCTTCCTGATTGGCGTCCTCAGGACGGTAAAAACCAATGAAGGCTGGAAACAATCGGTGATATGGTTCCCATTGGCGGAAATACAACTACTCAGCGAAACTATATTGTTCTTTGTTACTACTATTCCTTTGTGTCACACCTCTGTTTACTGTCTCTCTCTATTATGCATTTCTTCTACTTTCTTCTCTTCCTTTGTGTGCTACATTGAGGGAGTGTGGTGACTTGAACTGCTGCACATCTGTACAAAGTAGTTCTACGTTGAAACCAGTCAGTAAATTGTAATAGTTTGTAATAATTGTAATAGTTTCCACAAACTCTCGGCATGAAATTTTATAGAAACGAGAGTTTTTATATAAATTTGGAGAAATGTAGCGTAGTAGTCGAAAAGCTTGCGCTTGATCTGGTTTAAAACACCAAGCTAGCTAAATGGATCGATTTTCTGATATTTTTGATATTTCTACATTCTTGTAATATTCTTACATCACTGTGCATCTGTGGTTCCATGACTGAATACTTGCAAGCTGACGCGCATTCGTAAACCTTGGCTAGCTTACTAACTGGGTAACTAAATTTCAGAAAAGAGGATAGGTTGAATAAGGTTGCATGGCTAACAACCTCATCGCATAAAGACTAAACAACGTCAATATAGCTATTGAGACTTGAAATGTTAGTTAGCTAAACAGAGCACGAGGCTATTAGCCACACTTATATCGTGTGAAGGCTACTTCAAGATTTTGATTGTAGGGATATCAGTTGTCTGTCTGTCTGTTTTCCACATAGAACTTTGCAGCTATGTGCGCGGGAGTTCAAGTCGCCACAATCCATCCATTTAACACACAAACCAAGAGAAGAAAGTAGAAGAAATGCATAATAGAGAGAGACAGTAAACAGAGGTGTGAGACAAAGGAATAGTAACAACGAAGAACAATATAGTTTCACTGGAAATCATAATTCACAAGGAGTGGATGCATCTGCGCCAGCCATTGAAAACGACCACTTTGAGCTATATCACCAATTGTTTCCAGCCTCCGTCATTGATTTTTACCATCCTGAGTACTCCAACCAGTCAGGAAGTCTACACCTCCCTACGTGACTAGCTTAAACTAACTGTTGTGTATTTCATTGACTGATCAAGCCATGTTTTGGTTTGACCGCCGCTAGCTCTTTTCCAGCCTGACCACTACCTAACTCATACGGGAGATAGAACGCAGGCACATATGATCATTATCCAAATATACCAGTATTCACCTCATTGGTGGCTATCCGATAGTTGTTCAGAAGTTGCAATGAGAATTCGTGTTCAGTTGGGGCCCATCATGTAAAAATGATGTGTGTACTGTTCATTATTGTTATTGTTTCCTTTAGTTCCTAGAGGAACATAGGGCTTCAGCCGCACGTCTCCATTGCGTTCGTTTCTCTGCCAACGTTTTCATCACCTGGCTCCACGTCTACCCACATGCTTTCATCTCTCCTCTTCTCATGACCTCCTCCATGTCACCCTCCCACTGACGACGACCAGCTCGCCGCTTCTCATTTGGTCGGGTTCCAATCGACCAATGGCCTGGAGTGGGATGTCACTCACTTGATGGTGGTTTGTTTTCTCAGAGTATGGCCAATCCACCTCCATTTCTTCCTGTGTATCTGTTGCACAGTTAGTTCCTGCTGGATTGCTTCACCTATTACCAAAGATCCGCCGCTATTGCTGATATTTTCTGGCCGCCTATCTGATCTTGAGGGAAGTATTGAACGAAGACAGTTGTTGATGAAGGTCTTTAGTTTGATTGAGGTGCTCTTCATGACGCTCCAAGTCTCTGTTTGTTAAAGTAGCACTGACTTCACATTCGAGTTGAAAATTCGGATCTCAATTTTCACGCTGATTGCTGAGTGTTGATCTCCACACAGACTTGAGAGTAATGAAAGCATGACTTGCTTTCCCGATCCTCGCTGCTTTGATATCCTCATCAGTTTTATCCGCCTTTAGTTGGAACGATGCTTCTCGGGTCGGTCGGTCGGTAGGTTGGTGAGTCAAGGAGGCTACTTCTTTCAGATTTCTAGCATTTATGCTGGCTAATTGTTGTTGTTGCTGTTCCTGTTAGCCAGGAATCTCCATCATCATCTCTGTTTTCTCTATGTTCACCTGAAGTCCTATCTTTGATGCTTCTTCTGCTAGCTTGTTGCTTTTCATCACTTGGATATACTTCAGTTTGTGGGAAATCAGAAATATAACATATCGGGGAAATCCATATCCTCCAAGTATTTTGTTTGGGTACATTTTATGTCTATCTCCTCGTTGCCCGACCCGCCCTGTGTCGCATTATCCAGTCTACTGGCATCAGGAAATTAATCATTGGAGATAGTAGGCAGCCAGCCAGTCTTGTCTTCCTCCCGTCTTCACTTCGAAGGATTCCGTGAGTTTCCTTTTGTGGATTACTTTGCATTCAGCATTATCGTACACCTGTTAAATGTCTGTCTGTCTGTCTGTTTTCGACATAGAACTTTGCACAAATGTGCGGAAGTTCAAGTCGCCACACTCCCTGTAGCACGCGAAGCAAGAGAAGAAAGTACGAGAAAGGCATAATAGAAACAGTGAGCAGAGTTGTGAGACAAAGGAGTAATAAAGAAATACAAAACAGTTTCATTGAAGATCATAAGTCACAGGGAGTGGATGCATCTGCGCCACTGAGAACGATTTTGAGCCATGTCACCAATTGTTTCCAACCATAGATTTTTACCGTCCCGAGGACCCCAGCCTGGAAGTCTACATCTTCCTACGTGACTTAGACCAACTGTTGTGGATTTCATTGACTGATGCCAAGTTTTTGTTTGACCGCCGCTAGCTTTTTTCCAGTCTGACCCTATATCCGCTAACATTGCTCGTCGAGGGAGGCGATGGCTTCGCATACGTAACACATGTCCTAACCATCTCAGTCTTTGTAGCTTCACGGCTTCGTCGATTGATTTCCCCTGTTTACCTAGAACTCTGCGCCTAACCTCCATGTTGCTCACCTTATTATACCACTTTACACTGGAGATAGAACGCAGGCACCTATGATCAAAGACAGCTAGTCTTTTCATGTCTTCCACTCTCAGTGGCCAGGTCTCACAGCCATAAAGGAGGACGGAGCGGACTGATGAGCAGTACACCCGCCCTTTGGTTGATAGTCGAACATCTCGTCTACGCCAGAGACGACGTAAACTAACAAATGCGAAATGGGCCCTCTGTATCCGTGCTGAGATTTCGTCAGAGATCAACCCGTTGGTGCTGGCTGATGGTACTTCCCAAATAAGTGAAGCGGTCAACGTGCTCTACCACTTCACTTCCTATTTTTAAACTAGGCGTCGATGTAGTCCAGTCCTGTAACATCGTCTTGCATTTGGCGGGAGCGAATCGCATGCCAAATATTCGTAGATTGCGGCTCAAGGTGTTTAGAAGACTCTGCATTTCGTCAGCGTCTTCGCCTAGAAGGACTATATATACCTGTTAAATAAGGTGCATAACCGTTGGTGGCACCACGTAGTCAACGCAGTAGTTTCCAAATCACTTCTCAATCGACGCTGTGCTATTGAAGGCGTTTTCAAAATCGATGAATTTGAGGTAGAGAGCTGACAACCATTTTTAAGCTCTGTTTAATGATACATAGTGTTGTGATTTGATGGATGCATGACTTGTTTCTCTTGATTACAACCTGATCTATACCGTTATGTAGTACCTTCGGTGGATTTAACCTTAAGTGACTTCAGCGACTCAGGAATTGACTTGCTACCAGGGAATAATCTCGTCGATATAGTCCTACCAGGCGAGGACGCTGACAAAATGCAGAGTCTTCTAAACACCTTGAGCTGCAATCTACGAATGTTTGGCATGCGATTCACTCCCGCCAGATAGAAGATGATGTTGCAGGACTGGACTACAGCGACGCCTAGTTTAGAAAAAGGAAGTGAAGTGGTGGAGCACGTTGACCGCTTCTCTTATTTAGGAAGTACCATCAGCCATTGCAAACAGGTTGGTCTCTGTTGAAATCTCAGCACGGATACAGAGGGCCCATTTCGCATTTGTTAGTTTACGTCGTCTCTGGCGTAGACGAGATATCCGACTGGCTATCGACCAAAGGGCTTGTGTACTGCTCATCAGTCCGCTCCGTCCTCCTTTATGGATGGCTGTGAGACCTGGCCACTGAGAGTGGAAGACATGAAAAGATTAACTGTCTTTGATCATAGGTGCCTGCGTTCTATCTCCAGTGTGAAGTGGTATAATAAGGTAAGCAATATTGAGGTTAGACGTCGAGTGCCAGGTGAACAAGGGAAATCAATCGACGAAGTTGTGAAGTTACAAAGACTGAGATGGTTAGGGCATGTGTTACGTATGACTAGTCATCGCCTTCCTCGACGAGCAATGTTAGCGAATATAGGGTCAGGCTGGAAAAAAGCTAGCAGAGGTCAAACAAAAACTTGGCACCCTCAATGAAATCTACAACAGTTGGTCTAAGCCACGTAGGAAGATGTAGACTTCCAGGCTGGGGTCCTCGGGACGGTAAAAATCTATGGTTGGAAACAATTGGTGACATGGCTCAAAATCGTTCTTAGTGGCTGGCCAATGCAGATGCATCCACTCCTTGTGACTTATGATTTCCAATGAAACTGTTCTGTTCTTCGTTGCTACTATTCCTCTGTCTCACACCTCTGCTCACTGTTTCTATTATGCCTTTCTCGTACTTTCTTCTCTTGCTTCGCGTGCTACATGGAGGGAGTGTGGCGACTTGAACTTCCGCACCTATGTACAAAGTTCTATGTAGAAAACAGACAGACAGATGTAGTTCCTTAAATTGACAGAAGTTAAAATAAACATTCGTCATTGAATTCCCGTCTGAAGTGGTGGAATGGTTAACGAGTTGACTTTCTATAATCTGAAGGTTGTTGGTGTGCGCTAATGATGAAGAATTCTAGGATGGGATGAAATAGGTATCGAACATTCCCTGTGTTGTCTATTGATATAAACTCTTAATAGTAGTAGTATGATTATCAATTATGTTATTAATTTGATTCGTCCGGTTTTCGCATAATTTAATAATGCAAAATATTGATCGATTCAAAATAATCCAGCGTGATTGTACTCTTCACCGAATATAAAGTCATGGGAACGCTACTAGGGTTGTGATAATAATAACAGTAATAAGAATAATGATAACCATATCAGTAAGGGAGCATTTGATTCATTTGAGCACATAATTTGATGAAAGCATCATACGATCTCAATCATACACTCACATACACACACACACATACCACTTTTGTACTCTTCATCTTATTATTGTTATTATTATTATACACGTGTTTTAAGTATTAAACACCACACATTACTTATTTCTCGAGGAAAATGTGTTTGTTTTATTTTTGTTGTTGTTTTTTAATTCACTTTGGGGACTTATTCGTCTTATTAATTGCCCATAATCTCTCAGTTCCTTCTCCCTCCCCCCCCCCCATACACACGATCTCCTCCATGTCACCCTCACACCGACGAACCACTCGTCGTTTCCTATTGGGATTCTACTTAAGCGCGATATCATTCGACGACCTCATTCCTCAACGTATGCCCAATTGATCCATCTCCACTTTCTTCTACATATTTGTTGTGCGATCGGCTGTTGCCTGTTGGTTGGTTGGTTGGTTGGTTTTTTCCACACTGCAGAGTTTCTTGTTGCTAATTCTTTCTGACCAGGCAGCCTACCGGCAGGCGATTTGATCTTCAGTATAGAGCCAGCCAGGGAAGGTGGTGGTAGCTGTTGATAAAAGTCTTCAGTGGCTTGTGTTTAAAAATGCTTTTCGTGATGCGCTGGCCAAGTTTTTGACCTGTATAGAAGAAGTGACATTTGTGCTCAACAGAAACCGAATCTTGTTCCACACATGCTGACTGAGTGCAGACGATTTCCAAACTGGTTTCAAGTGAATGAAGGCTTGCGTATCTTGCTTTTCCGAATCTAGCTGGCTTGCTTTGACATCTTTATCCGTGCTGTCCGCTTGGCTGTGGTTGAAAAATCGGGCTTCTTGGCTGAATCAATGAAGGTAGGAAGTGTAGCCTCTGCCAAATCTCTCCCGTTGATGGTGATTGGTGATGGTTATTGTTGGTGTTGCTGTTGGTTGGTTGGTTGGTTGGTTGGTTGGTTGGTTATCTTCATCACCCCTCCGTTTTCTGTATGTTCGTGCATAGTGTCTTGTCTTCGCTGCCAGTCAACCTCTTCAGCCAGTTTGTTGATTTTCGCCCGCAATTCTTCAAGTTTGTGTGACATAAAAGATAAATTGTCTGCAAAATCTGGATCTTCTAGAGGCTTCTTATCGATGGTACCAGCGTATTCCTGTCTTCTCACTCCCACAGCGTAGTCTGACGCATAATCAAGTCCACCACAATTTAGTAAATCATCGTGGGTGATAATAGGCAGGCAGGCAGGCAGGCAGCCAGCTTGTCTTGCTCATGTCTTCACTTTGAACGCCTCGGTGAGTTTTTTCTGTTATGGATCACTTGACATACGCCATTGTTATATATGGAGCTGTTGAATGTGGTCAATAAAGATTTGGGTACTGCTCACCAGAGCGTTGAAGCAATTTCTCAATTTTACTTCTTGGTCAACACTGTCTGTTTAAGGCCTTTTTGAAATCGGTGAAGTTGACGCAGAGGTTTGACTGTCATTCTACGCTTTATTCTGGGATGACAACGATGCTTAGAGTTGCAATTTGATCCTTACATGTTTTGATTTACCTAACCCGGCCGATAACTGCTACCTTGTTGTGGTGGTCGAGCTTGAATACCGTAATTACCCAACGTGCTAAACTGACTGGGACTCTGTGTGCCTGCAGGTCCTACCATGTCAGGAAGGTTGTTTGGATAGCGGTTAAACTAAAAGCAGTTACCATCGGGCACATGGTCTCCAGTATCCAATCGGATCAAATGGCGTATGAACCCATATGGGTCACCGGGAACCATGGGAATGTAGCTCCTGATGCTGCTCCGCTGCCTTCCGGATTAGACTCCAAGTCAAAGGCTCGGGGCGTGGTCCCTTAATAAAACCACCTGCTTCGGTCTGGGCGCTCAGGCAGTATCTCAGCCCTCACACAATAAATTAAATTGAATAAAGCAACAAACAATCAATGAAAGTTATCGTGTGCTATTACACGTGTTGCAGTCTCCTTCTTTCTTCCCTTCCCAATGATAGTTAACGAATACTGTTTGAACTTGTTAAGCATGACTGTTTTCCTTCCAGATGAAGTTCTTTATCCGTTTTCTACTTATATATTTTCTCTCTTTCTTTTTTTTCCTTTGATCTATGTTGTTTTATTGTTATTGTGTGGCGTATCCTTCTTGGTGCCATATTGTACCAAGTTTTTATGCGTTTAAATAAATAAATAATGGTTTACCTAAATTCAGCTTGTTCCCTTCGAAGTTCTGCATTCACTTCACCTTTTCATATTAGTTTGTTTATTAGATATATCACACAGTGAAACTGTATTATTATATACTGGATGACGAGGTTTAGAACAAAATTTATTGTTCATAATCATATCAATTGATATGAATCAAGCGGTATACAACATTGAACTACGTTCGTGAATCTCATTGGATAATTCGCTGATTGGTAGTTAGTGGTGTCGAAAGTTTAACTTCGCCACAATATCGTTTTGTTTTTCATTCATTGGGAAATACACAAAAACCTTTTATTATAATGAATGATCAGCCCATTGTTTTATTTTTTTCTCTCATCCTTGTTAATTAATTGGGCTCCATTTTTCGGGCGGAGGAACTGCTTAGTAAACTGGGCATAGATAACCACTCTAACCTCTCCTTCTTATTTTTCTCCTTTTTCAGGAATTGGAACAATGCATTGGCTGTATGGTTCATCAAGCAAATGTGACACTGAATCGTCAATGTGAAACTTTTCAAACCTCTTCGACATCTTCACCACCACCCCCACCACCACCGGCACAAGCGGCTAATGATAACAACAATAATAATCAATGCGGAACATGCTATTGTCGACCTCTGTGGTGTTTAGAATGCCTAATTCGTTGGTTTGCTTCACGTCAGACAAACAGTCATCGTCCACCGAATCAATGGCTATCAGGACGTGTACCATGTCCAACTTGTCGGACATATTTTTGTGCACGTGATGTTTCACGACTTGTTATCAGTAGTCAGCAATAATTATGTGAAGTGTGTGTGTGTGAAGTGAATTCACTGCAGACTGTGAATTCTCCGGAAAAATTGTGATATATAGATATATGTGTGTATGTGTTTACGGGCGTACCTTGGTTGATGGATGGCCTTAATGTCACTCCTCCTCCTCTTGCCTTCCCGCTCCCCCATACATTATCTCATTGTGCACCTTATTTGTTTGTGCCTGTCTATCTGAGTCTCTTGTCGCGCTGCCTTAGTTTTCGTTTGCTTTTTTGATAAAACATATCCGTGTGTGTGTGTGTGTGTGTATACACCACCAAGACTTTGCCGATATGCCTTTATATAAGAGAAGCCCATTTCAATATACCAGTTTCATAAAAAAACATATCGTTTCTCTATGTGTTCTTTCTCTGTCTTTTTTCTTGTTACCGCCTTTTCTGCTTTCTGTTTTGTTATTATTATTATTACTGTTATTATTTAATATTAGTTATTTTTATTGCTAAGTATAGTATGATAATTTAAACGGGCAATAAAAAAGAGTATTCAAGTATGAAGAGTTTTTGTTTTGCCTTATTTTGTGTTGTGTTGTGGCGCACATTTTGAATTTTTGAATTTCAATGCTTGATTTTTTTTTGTGTGTGTGTGTGTGTGGGCGTGTATATGAATGGTATTTGATTGTCGACTACTTGTATATTATCAAGTAGCTTATCAGTAGCTTGTAGGTTGTGGTAAATTTTTGTTTTGTTTACTTTCTTGATTGCCATTCATGGTAGGTGTCAAACAGATCATATATATATATATATATATTGTGTGTTTCACCTTAATGTTTGTGTGACTCATCTCAGCATTACGTATGAACAAACTCCTCTGAGGATTGACTGCAGGGGCTTTAGAGTTAATCAGTCTGTAGCGGCAGATGACAAGGGCCTTTATTGAGAGAATCAACAGTTGTTTATACATTTTTATGTGGATTATTATTAGAGTTATTGTTAACAGAGAAGCAACGTCTTCTGATTGGTTGTTCTCCTACTGAAGGTTAATCTGTACTGCATATCACCGTTTCTTAGAAAGTTAAGCCATATATCTGCTATTTGCACCCACACACGCTAAGTCTGTTGTGATTGGTTGTTGAGTTCCTCAAGGTTATGCTTTGTTTTTGTTTATTTTTCTCATGGCCTTGATTTGGGACATGAACACTGATGTAAATTGTGTTGTCTACAATTTCGGCTTGCAGTCAGTTCTCACCACAAGGCGAGCCTGTCAGTTATTTAGCTATAAGAGTTACAGAAAGATACCATGACTGACCCCAATGGAGTTCAGCAGGTTAAGTGGGAAAGGACGGTTACTAATTGATGACATTAGCTTGTGCTGGCGGTGACGCTGTTATATGGCCAGTTGGTAGCAATTTGAATTCATAGTCAATTGAAAGTCCTAAGTTCGAATCCGTGTATCAGTTTATAAGTTAGGATGAAACATCTATCCAGTGCTCAAGGATTCTTTAACTGAGGTCAGTTTGTGATCTAACTTGATGATGAAGAGATTACTTTCAGGAGACAATATTCAGCGGAAAGACTCTTTTCAACGAATTTATCATCAAGCTGTACAATTGTATATATATATATATATATATATATATATATATATATATATATATATATATATATGGTTTTATAAAGAAATTTCATCTGGTGAGGGATTTAGGTCAAAAGTGTGAATACATGAAATAATAATAGTAGTAGTATGAAATGCAATTAAAATATTTGTGATTATAGTCATAGTTAGATGTCAAGTAGCAACACAATTAATTTCGAATATATAGAAAAATACATAAGACGGGTGTATAGATGTTGGAAAGCAGTGCATAATTATAGGATTAGTGGACGAATATAAAATGTTACATAACATGATGTGAAATTTGATAAGATAGAATTCAATATTAGAAACATAAAAAATAATAATTTCGGATTTAGAATGACAAGAGGGACAAGTGGAAACAATTCGGAGTGAGAATAGTAATAATAATAATAATCGTAGTAATAAGGGAAACGTACATATAATAACTAAATAAACAAAATAAATGTCTATCCCTCTATGGTCAAGGCAGAAGTAGGGATTGTACATACTTCTTTTGTACACGAAGGTCGGGTTGGCTTAAAGTCATGAATTGCCAAGGCCTCCGCTGTCAGTAAGACGTTCTTTGCAGCAAAATTACATATGAAGTTCACTAGCCGCAAGTTGTTCTCTACCTCTGTAAAAGATAAGCTCCTCCGTCTGGCCGTCTCTATGTGCATCTATCAGATCACCTGCTCTTGTGGAGCAGGGTACGAGAACATATTCCAGCTGCATGGTTTTACAAGGGAGAAGCTCTATTCTGGAACACCTGATCAACTTCTGTCACTCTTTCAACCCTGACCATGATTTTAAGATCATCTACCGAATTTATGCTAACTTCCCGCGTTTTCTTCGTTACCGAATTCTAAAGACAGCTAAGGCCTTGGCAATTCATGACTTTAAGCCAGACCTTTGTGTACAGAAGAAGTATGTACAATCCCTACTTCTGCTTTGGCCGTAGAAGGATAGACATTTATTTATTTTGTTTATTTAGTTATTCTATGCACCTTTTCCTTATTACTACGATTATTATTATTACTATTCTCACTCTGAATTGTTCCCGTTTGTCTCACTTGTCATTCTAAATCCAAAAACGTTTTTACAATACTGAATTGTATCGTATGAAATTTCACTCCATCTTATGTAACATTTTATTTTCACCTACTGATCCTATAATTATACTCTCCTATTCAACATCTATACACCCGTCTTATGTATTTTTCTATATATGAAATTAATTGTCTTGCTACTGATGAAGAGTCCCAAACTAGGACGAAACATCTGTCCCTTACTCTAAGGTTTTCCTATGGTTCTTTAACTAATGTCAGGTGGAGAAGACCTTTTTAGTAGCATTACATACAGTCTGATGCATGTGTGGGTTCTCTGCAGATTTATACACTTACCTACCTACCTACCTTATCAACTGATTTATCTAAAACTCTGCGCTAAACGGCATAATGTCATCATTAAATACTGTAACAATACTATGGAGATCATCAATAGGTCTTTTCTTGTCAGTGATCACTGCTCATTGTTTCACAGTACACTTCAACTCTTAATGCGTTATTCTAATATATTTCATCTGTGCACGTTCATAAGAGTAGTATGAATTAGTAAAAGTCAGGTAACTGCTCTATGTGTGTATATTTATATCGAGAAGCAGTTGGACACGACCAAATTTTGTTCATAGGACTGACAGTTGTCTTTATTCAGTCGTTTCAACTCGATGTGTGATACTTTGTACATAACTGGAAAACAACGACGAAATTCTAGGTGAAGAGGGAAGTTAATGGATGGGTGAATACATTCGGCGAACTTTTTTCTTACAAATTAGTCATATGAGAGAAGTATTTTCCATCCAAACTTCTTGTATGAAGTTCGTATGAACTGTGATCATGATCACAGACAGAATAGTTCTAGAATATAATTGGACGCCGAGTGAGAAGTAGACATTTGTAGAAAATTATATATGTATGAATCTCAACGAAATTGAAGTGAATAATTCAAATGTTATGCTCTGTTCGGCAATCTCGTCCGAACTTCTTCAGAGAAATTAATCGAAATTAACATTACAGAGGTTTATATATAAAACAAAGGAACATCTCTTGTGTTTTAAAAACTTCGTCCAGTCATATGAATCATGAAACAGGTGTCAAAATGTATAATAGGACTAAGGTTCTACAGAAAGGTTTTGAATAAAGTATGATTATACTTCATTAGTTTACACACAATGATAAGTTTTGTTATTGATAATACTTCGAGCAAAATTATTGCCCGTGTTCACACCACACTGTTGGAATTGTTTTATTCGGTATGAACACGGGCAGTAGTAATTTTGCTCGAAATATTACCAATAACAAAACTTATCATTGTGTGTAAACTATTGAAATATAATTATACTTTGTTTGATCTAAACCACAACTCTCAAAGTTTTTACTGATAGAAAGGTTTTGGTTACTATAATAATAATTTGCTTTATTCCAAAACAGTACTTATGATACAGAATGGAATTCTCACCATTTCACTACATACAGTATTGCATCCAGTTAGTACATTATCATCAATAAATAAAATTCTACATAGATTAAGGGTAATCTCAGTTCATTATGACAACAACATATTAGCATGTCAGTAGCAAAGCCGAAAATTGAACAAAGTGTTTGAAGGTGTTAGAAAAGTAGATACTACTAGCGTATTTACTGGCATAAGCAGAAGAAAGAAACAAAGCAGCACCAAAACATGCTATAAAGAAAGACTGACTTCAGAAGCCTTACATATATGTGGGTGAATCCCAACAGTTTGAACAGACGTGAAGGTGTGATGTTAGCTGATGCATGGCAAATCCTGATTAATAAAAATAAAAATGGATATGTATCACTAATTAATAATACCTAGTCGAAATTCCCAATTGTCTACATCTTATGGAGTGGCTAACAAATGTTTTATCACTGTTCACCCACACACACATACACACATCACTGTATATTCAGTTGTATACGACCATGAACTTTTAGTCGAACGTAATCTGATGAAAACGACACTAATTTAAATTTTATTGAATTTGAGATTTTCCCGTCGATTGATTGGACCGAAGTGCTCGGTCTCAGATTGACATGTCGGCCGGCCGGCTTCTTGTGCAGATGCTTCGACGATGTCTGGGCATTTAGTTAGTATTTGATTGGTGGATGGTGACTAGCAGTGGAATCCAGGATGCGCATTTCGTCCTATTTGGGACTCGTCAGCTGGATGTACCTGCATTTCTCAGTGAGTGATGATGTTCCCACTGAGGCTCTAAACCAGTACCCAATATTTTCATCACTCACTGAGAAATGCAGGTACATCCAGCTGACGAGTCCCAAATAGGACGAAATGCGCATCCTGGATTCCACTGCTAGTCACCATCCACCAATTAAATA